TGCCAACCTCAGGTATCCCTTGAAACACCTTCCTCAAGCTCCTTAAATCAAGTGAGACACATTGATCTCATTGGTAAGCAGATCAGTGGTACCTGGAGCAACACAACAGTCATTTTGCTGGCCCATTACTCTCTTACCTCCTCTATCCATCCCAAGATATTCCATTTCTGCAAGGCTTTGTACTGTTCTAGCCTACCTATCTTTAGGTATCATTATTAGACATTTTGGGGATAGATTCTTAAGTCTAGGGCACATTGTTGATTTATTTTATAAACAAAAATTTATAGTCACTCTCCATCTCTAACAGCCCAGTTTCTGTTTAGTCTCAGTGTTGTGCCCATTGTGACCAGAGAAGGGGTTTGGCAAAGCAAAGCAGCCTGATCAACAGCACAAGCATTTGCATTGCAAAAGGTTCTTCTCCACAGTAGTTGGGGAATTTTTTTAAAGCTCAGCAAATTTCGTTTCTAACCTATGTAAGTTTACATTTTTCAATGCATTCATTCCCCTTTGGTGTTTGTTTGTTTGGGGTTTTGTTGTTGTTTTTGATAATCTCCTGCATCCCCTCCAGACTATTGATTTCCATACCAGTGGATATTTCAATCTGGCATTTGAGCACAACTGCATCACCTGGTAATCCCTGCTAGCAGCAGGGATGCCATGACATTATTTACAGACAACTTGCTCTCCCTTCTAACACACGAGCTGCTCTCTTATTCCAGTCTGCAAAACAACATTTCATTGTGCTCCTCGAAAACACAAAACCTCACTAAGAGGCCACTGATCCTTGCATTGGTGCCATTGCTGCATTATGTCCCTTTCAAGAGCCTAAATTTGTGCTCCTTGCAGCAACGATCCCTCCAAAGCTTCTTAGAGGCATCATTTCCACCAGAGCCCAAGCAAAGGCAGTTTGTCACAGGACACCCAGAAAAGGACCAGTGCCAAACCACTCCTGCCCCATAATACTTCACACTGAGCAAAATCTTCAATCTCTAAAACCACTTTTTGTGGTCCAGGTGCAGAACCAAATTCTTAGAACAATTAAGCAAAAAATTTCCAGAGGACTTGAGAAATATTTTCCTGTTTTACTCTTTGTTATCTTTAACCTTTCAAGCTTCTGAAAGAACACACATACAGATTCACAAGTAAGAGTTGAAACACAGGCTCATCTCTTGATTTAAGACCATACACCAATACTTATTGTTGCTGCAGTATAAACCTCTCTATGCCTGTCTTGTGGCAAAAGCAGTACAAATATGCCACCTTTTCCCAGTACGTACCTTCACCATTCATTGCAGGAGAAGGAGTCTGAACAAATGCAGCAGATCCATTTTTAATATTGTCAGGAGATTCAGATAGAACCTGCAATAGCAAGTAATACAGTTCTTAGGATAGGGCACATCATGGGATTTGAAAACTGTAATATGCAATAGCCAGAGGAGATAAGAGCAGGCAGCTCTTGCTTACCTGATAGCTCTTTATTGTGCATGTATTGTCTTCCTCAGCTTCCTCCGGGATGCTCATTGTATTCCCCATAGTTCCTGCAAGGTGGAGAAAAAAACCCAAATAACCCTTTCTTTCTCATTAATATGAGAATACTGCCTAATTCAAATTAAGAGACAGCCAATGGTGACAGACTTTATCAGGCTGTTAAAATTCCTAACAAGCCCCACCTGCTTTCCCAAAGGCACCTGCCCTACTCATCAGTCTGCACCAACCAGTCCTACCCAAACCCAATTATGCTTAGGGGCTCACAGCTGCTCCCTAAAAGTGGTACAAACTAACAAACTTTTCTTGTTTGTTGAGGAAAACTGGATGTGATCACACCTGCATCGTTCATCAGGGCTCAGGAGATACTAACAGGAGTTAGCAGCAGAATAAAGTGAAAAAGACCAAAATATATGAATAAAATTACAGCATCTTGGTGGGGTTTTATATCTTTGTTTGATTTCAATTTTAAAAAAAGAAGGGAGAAAAGAGGCAGCATGTAAAGAAATCATACATATAAACTCTGAATATTAGGTCCATAGGTCAGGTAATTTTGTGTAAATAATCCTCTGGGGAAAATCCTCGCCTGTGACTGTGGAAGTATTTGGCCTGTGCTAGACAGCTTCACTGGTCAGCTACGGCTCACGGATGTACCTGAGCTGCATGTCCTTGGCTAGTTCAAGCGTGGCCAAGCCTGGAGCTGCAGCAAGTCAGAGACACCATGAACCAGCATTGCAGCATTCACTGGTGGTCCTTGATGTGTTTTTTGAGCAACTTGTATTGTCACCACTGACAACACTACTGAGACCTGAGCTAGTCAGTATAAAATGGCTACTGGAGCCACAGCTCTGACTGTAATCCAGGTATAATCTTATCTAGTTAAAAACTATTAGTCCATTAGGTAATTCAACACTTTGTGAGAATGTTCTGATTTTTTAAATCTTTATTTCAGGAGTAGTGTATTGGATTGAATTCTAGCCTCTTTCCTATGTACAAGTGTGCATAAACCTCTTTGGGTTTCTGTTTTGTTGGGGTTTTTTTATTATTTTCTCTTTAATATAAAATACATTTCTGTACCCTCTGAACTCACTATGCTTTAGGACTGTAAATACTTTGGGGCCAAACATACTCCCTTCAACATGGTTGAAGGGCAAACCAGACTGAAGTCAAGAGGAAGGTTCCTATTGACTTTGGCTCAGGATACATATATGTATATATACTGTTAAAGCTACACAAATAAATAATAAGGAGAGGCTGTTTAGAGCCACACCTTGAAAGAAGAAGGTGGAGAGCTGCAGCCAGCTCCAGCCTCAGTGCCTGTCCCATTGGTGTCCTGCAGAACCACCATGGGTACCAACTGCCCTTCTGGTTTATTATTGCTCTGGTTTATGCCTGTGTGAATCAGAGAAGCTGCAGAGGTATGGATGAGAGCAACTTCTTTAGTGGCTACTGGAGAAAAGGAGGAAAAGAGTAGTTTTGCTAAATGGTGTTCACTAGAAGGCGAGCACTGGGAGCAGCTCCCCGTGCAGCCCACAGCCCCAGCTGTCTGCTTCCAGTTACTGTTTACAGAGCTCAGGCTGGTTGTGGTTTTTTGCTAAACCCAGTCTACAAACAGGGATGGACCAGATCTGGTTTCTATTTTATGCTGCAGCGTAGCTGACATGAAATCCAAGCTGGAGCTCTCTCCAGAGATGGTTATTGTTCTCTAAGTGTCTAGTGCCGCGCTGGACACTGAATGGCCCCGCTGATGCTGAAACGTGAACCGCAGTCGTGCGCTGCTGAGAATCACGGCATAAATAGCAGCTGTAGGACTGAGCCTTGATTTCAGAGCTCAGTCTGAAGCTCAGCCCAGAGTTATTTTACAGGGATTTTATCTTCTCAGCTGATATTTCCACTATAAATCAGAACTTCTGATTTATGCTGGAAAACAGCCAATGTTTCCCCATGGATGTACAATGGCCTCTTGTCCTTGCTCCATATTTGTTTCCTAGCAACTTTAAGTATTATCCTATTGGAAGAGAAGAAAACAAGATTCAAATCCTGCTGCTTAGTCTGGTGGTAAATTTAGTATCTGGTTGAATCTGGAAGATTTACTTTTGTTTTCCATTCACAAAGCCTCCTGCTTTATGTTAGGAGACAACTTAAGCAGAGGATGGAATACTTGCAAGTTGCATGCTTCCTTTTTCACATGTGCTGTAAAATCAGTACAGATCTGAGGGGAGTGAGAGAAGCAAATTACTTTTTTAATTTTTTTTTTTTATATTTATTTCTACAATGATTTGTAGCTTCATTCTCAATTACACCAGTTTCCTGTTGGTGCAGCTCTACCCACGTCAAGTAAGTTATCTTTAACTGATACAGAGCAGAGATCACAGGCTCTGATCTCTGGCATGTTTTACTCTGGGAGAGATTACCCATTTTCTACAATCAAGTTTATAATTCTCACTGAAATAAAACACACACAGTGGTCATGTGGAAATTTTAAAGATTTTCACTCACCAGAACCTTCCCTCTCATAGAAATCTGGACAAAACTTCGAGGTTATTTTTGCTAAAAATGGGACAAACTTGCTACATAACCCTTACAGAACATGATCCCAAAACACCAAATGCAGTTCTCCACCAGGCAAGTATATAATACATCTTCAGACTTCTTCCCTCCTTGCAACAGTAATTGATTATTATATTACACTGATATTTGCATTGTATGAGCAGTATTGCAACTGCACATTTGGTGTGTTCTGGGGCAAGGTGGCTACTGAAGAAAGGTGACCAGTCTGTGGCCATTCCTCTGGGTACAGAGCTCAGTCAGTGGCACAGCTTCACAGTCCTGGCCCAGGTCCTCTAGTGAAATTAGGAAGATATATATGTATGTAAGCTTCTGCCCTATTTTACAGAAAAAATGAAAGGTCACTGCCACCTATAGACAAAACTGAGTATCAGCAGAAGTGATGATATACACATACAAAACAGCATCAAATTGGCAGAGTTTCAAGTTGCCAAGCAAGTAATGTCACAGCTATTCACTCCTGCCATCGCATCTAGGTATTGCTGCTGCAGAGACTATCGCATCTGCTTGCACCCATATGCGGCTCTAGATTTGCATAAACCAGTAACTCCAGCTTGGTCATTAACATGAACCAGTTAAGTTTTTCCCAAAGTGCTCAGGACTTTAGTCTATATGAACAAATCAATTTTTCTCTCATTTCAAACACCTTCACTTGAAGCTAAAATTATTAAATATGGAGCCAAGGAGGTTTTTGGAAAAATAAAGGACTCCCACAAGGCTCTGATTTGATGTCTTTTTTGACCAGTGCCTTTACAAAGACCACTGTTTTGAATGTGGGCTGCCAATAGCTAAGCACCAAGCCCCATTTTGGCACCCAGCTAAAGTCTTCATGCCAACAAATGGATTTTCAAAAGATGCTGAGGGCTCCCCGTGTGTAGTGACTTGCCTGAGAACCACAAGTCTTGGGGAGCTGTCAGCATCTGGCCACATGCTTGTTCCTGGTGGGCAGAATCAGACATTGTCAACCACTGAAGACCTCTGTCCAGCTGTGAAACCTATAGTGTCTCTTCAGATGTTGACTTGGTCTCTCCATTGGGTGTTTTTGGTATGTCTTGGTTATTAGTCATGGTTATTTATTAGCGGTACAACCACCAGGCAGAACCTATTTGTGCCCTTTGTTCTATGTCTGAAAAACACAAAGCTGGTCTTTGTAGGAAGCTGTGAGTATGGAGCAAACCTACACCAGATCTGGGAGGTGTTGCTGGCAAGACGTCTATTTTGTGAGAGGAGATTTGAGAACATTTACAGAGACAAGACAATTATTGAGGACAGAGAGGTGAAAAGAGAAGATCTTGATGCAAGAACACTTTTTTCAAAATGAGAAGAAAACCCTCAGAAGTTGAGAGGAACTGAAGGAAGCTCATTCTCAACCTTAGGCTTCCTTTCTAGATAGAGATTTTTCAATTAAGTTTCAAGGCTATTAACCTCACAAGATGGGGGGGGTCTCATTCCAACCAGCTGGAATGCAGCCCAGCTGGTTTAAAACTGAACATGAACTACCAGCCTCCAAATCAGACACAGCTCTGAAACAATTCCTTTCCCAAATTATGCTTCATTGCTTCTATTGTAATGCAGAAAATAATCCAAAAGAAAACTGGTTTTTGTAGATTTTTTAAACACTATATATACCACAGCATGCCCCGAGCATTAGCTCAAAGCTTGGTAAAATTCTCCTTTTTCTCACATTCTCAAAAATCGTTGTTTTGGTCCTGGCAGAGTGGCAAAAGCTTTGAAAACTATGAGAGAAAATTACAACAAAATCCGTGATCTACTGTGTACTCTGGTTAAAGCCAGATAAGCTTGAACTTTCTAACGTATTGACCAACCTAGAATATTACAATTGCCTGTGTCACAGAGTCTATTAATATAAAAAGTACACAATTAATTCCTCACTAAAACTTGCCACATATTGTACTTAAATGTCAGAAAAAATAATCAACTTCACTTAGTTCTCTTTGCATCTCGTTTCATTATAGATATGTCCACTCTGCAGGTGTTGGGGAATTTAAACTTGTGTATATTCCAGAGGCAGAGGAAGGACCTAGCACACATTAATTCATGTAAAACGCAGCCTGCCTTGTGCTGCAGGGCAAGGACTAGATCCTTGTTAGTATGTCCCTGTCCCTTATCCTGCCTCTTGGAAAAGAGGTGAACATGGGGACATGTCAGTCAGTGTCCTGCTAGAAAGGCAGAAGCTCCTGCTCTCATTCTTGCAGAGCCCAGGAAGGACTCATAATAGGATAGGGTTTTAGAAAGTCTTCTTACCTTCCTTCAGTGCAGCTCTCAATTTCTCTTCTGCAGAAAAAGATTAACTCAGACACGTGTTGGGTATGATGAAACCAGGGGATAAGTGCACCTGATCATTGTCTGTGGCTAAGGAGGAGAAATGGACACACAATAGACAGTAATGGAAGGGACAGGAGAAGGAAGGATTGAGATGACTCACCAAGAGCAAACAAGAAACACCCAAGAACAATTTG